ACAACCACTACTTCAACGCTACACACTTGACCTTGAAGCCAGAAAGTTTTTTGGCGATCCGTCATTAAAGACGGGTGGATTCGCGGCATCGCCCATGCTGCAAGACCGCCGGCTAAGATGCCTTATTTTAATCAACTATCAAAGCTGCGAGCTCAGTGAGCTAGCCAGGGCAAGTGGACGACCTAAACCTTCTGTGCTTTTCCAAACTTCCACATGGAACTAGGGCGCCCGTGTCAGCAGATGACCCGAAGGGATATTACCGTCTCCAAACATGCTGCTTCCGTTGCATCCATAGGTCTTCTGCGGTATCGATTGTCAGGCGACACTGTGTGGGCCGACCACCGTTGGAGTATTCGAAAATTTCGACAGATACCTAGCGGACAGCAGTGACAACTGCTGCTTTGTCCTTAAATTCAAACTGTAAAGCAGGGCGGATTTTGCGCACTAAGAGCCTCTGCTTGGTTGGGCTGCCGTATTTTTTAGGGACATTAAAACCTTCAGCAGGAAACATTTTGGGCAAGAATAATTGGCCAACCTTTGGCCGCGTTCAAACGACAACATAGGCAGGGCGCATTCACCTGCTTCCCTGGTACTCGGCCACCTCAGCACGTGCTAGCGTCCATAAGAAAAGTCCTCACCTGGACATTGACGTGTGAATGGTTAGTGCAGTCCTGTGAACGATTAAAAAACACGACACCACGTTGCAACCCCGTTTTAAAATAGGGTCAAAGCAACAGGCAAACACTCCCATTTCTCTACCTTATGCACTAGATCGTCCGTCAAATTGAAAGGATAGCTAGTACTACCCTATGCGAGGACAGTGACGCCTTACTCGTGAAAGGTATTTCTGAGGGTCTGTACAGCATCAACCCCCTATTCCCACAGTCAAGTCGGGCAAAATGGCTGACGCCAAGTAAAACGTCAGCTCTAGTCTCTTGCACGAGAGTTTGTTTCATGACAACTTCTGGCGCTTTACCACGATCCTTTTGAAAATAGACTCAAAACACCAACTATACGCGAAGTTTCGTAAGTATCGCAGGAAGGCTACTCCACCTAACTGGAGGTCAAACCCTTCAATTTCGCATACTGTAGCCGAAAAGGGCCGACTTGCAAACTCAGGTAAGAGTTTCCGCTATCGTCTTGTTCAGCCTTCTTACCGGAATCCACGTCCATAGAGGCGGGCGCCTGGAAGGGTGCAAACACGACGGGGAAGGTGGAATCGAGATGCTGGGAATCCACCTGGATGCGGAAGACCTTTGCGTGTATGTGCATCTGATGCGGCGAGGAACGGTACTGCAAATGAACACCCGGCTGGAAAGTACGTCGCAGGCTGCACATCTCCGGCTCCAACATGACCATCTGACCCAGATCCACGGTGATCTGTGGCTTGATATGATCTGGAAGAGTGATTCGCTCCTCACACTTCTCGCCAATGCGCAATTTGTCCAGGAAGCGATTGTAAAGTATTTCCAACTCAGCACTGACCTCTGGCCGCAGGGGCTTGGTCCGGTTTTCATTCTTAACTCGATTCCACTTTATGTCCGAACTTGACGGGAAAGGGGAAGAATGTAGAGGGGCGAACAGAAATAATAGATAAGTTGAGAGATTATAAGGCATGGCCAGTTAGCACGCTGGAGACAGACGTTTAGGCGGGCCAGCTTTGGAGAAGGACCCAGAGCTGCGTTGAGCAGAGTAAAATGCTCAACGCTTAACAACGGGAGCTTACAAGGACGTCATATTAGATCGATAAAGGATGTGCTGGATAATGAACTCATGGGAAAATTGCGTTTATAGGTGGAATGGGAATGTGAAGGGGACGAAGGGGAACTTGCAAGAAATGTAAACAAAATTAGAAGAAAAAACACCAGAGCACGGATGCTCTGACCGAGGGGAATGTAAAGAGGGGAAGAACGGAACTCACCTTCGGATGGAGATATAACAAACCTCCTGACATCTGTCATTGTTCACTAAGGAGACACCAATTGATTGGAAGACTAGCGTCACTTCATGGTCAATGGCCTCTATTTCGGCCGCCTAAACAAAAGAAAATAAGGTTTCTGATGGTGGCAAAGGGGAGTCTTTTCCGGTTCATTTCAGGGAAATGTCTGTATACAAGAATGCTACAAAGGAACAAGTGCGCTCTCGAATTTCTGCGAATGAAAGGGCCCCTCGGGCCTTAAATATACAATTTATTTATTGATTTATTTAATGCCAGTAAGTATAAACGACGAGCCCGGGACAGTAAAAGATTCCATAAATACTTGTTACTGAAATATAGCAAGTGGTATTATAAAAACAGTAAGTTGTAGGAAGGTCTTCTACCTTTGCTGCGGCATTTGCTTCCTCGGCGTTGTTTGTAAAGAGGACGGTCCTCTGGAGTTTGGAGAGGAAGGACACCCAGTAGTAGCTGGTCTTATTCACGAGGAAGGTGCTATACCCATCCTAAAGGGGGAAGGGGAGCAAACAAAAAGAGATGATGCATAAAAAGAGGACAGACAGCTGACAGATGAAGAGGATGAAAAGGAGGCATGGAGGGAGAAAGCACGCACCGTTGTAACATCCAGAGGTTTCGCTTTCCCTGGATCATCTAAATAGAAGAGGAATTGACGCGGTTTGCTTGCGTCGTCCCAGGCATAAAAGGTGCGTTGTCCGGCCTCCAGTTTGTGCGTCTGG